AGTTTTTATTAACTTAGAATTTGATGTGTGATACAAAGAATCTGTCTTCCTTAACAGCAAAACAGGACTACCTCTGAGAAGAAAATATACAGCCTAAAGTTTAAAATTACTAAAACTGATACAGCCACCAAGACAAATTTTGACATGATCAGTGCTAAGTCAGAGAAGTTAGAAACATGTTGGTCAGTAGGTTTTTTTTAAGCTGTGTAGAGTAAGGGAACCCATGCAAGTTCACCAAGACGTATGCAGGAGAATGTTCACTGCAGTACTGTGTTACAGGGACAACATGGAAGCCCAGCCCACCAACCAGCTAAATAAAGTCTGGCACATTCATACAACAGAATACTAAGCACATGAAAAACCCACAGTGAAGCACATCTGTGTACTAAGTTGCTCTACATGCGCTGACACGGAAGCCACTCCAAAGCACAAGGCTCAGGGTCTATGTAAACACAGAACACGCTCTACGGTGATGCCATTGCTTTAGAAGGATAGTCCTAATTTCTTTTCTGTGACATCCAAGGAACTTATCAAGGCTTTTCAAGGTGAGTACGGGATAGGAAAGGGGAGTGGAGGAGGTGACTTGTTCCTCACCTTGTAACTTGCTGCTTTTTTAAGATTTTTTAACATGTACTTTCAAAAAAATAAAGACTTTATAACGGTTACTTATATTTAAAAAAAGAAGAAACTCCTTTGATAGTACTAGCAAAAAATAAACAGAAATACAGTCAGCCCTCAATTTTCTACTGTGGCAATCATAAAAAATGTAGTGTCAAGTTAACCACCACCAAAAGAAGGGTACAAAACAGTGTCTATTCAACTACAACTTTCTTTCCATTAAACTATTCAGAGAAGATGATAACAGGGAGCAAAATGTTAAATCAGACACCTAAGAAAGGCTCATAACTGAAGAAAAAAAATAATGGGCTTCAATAAATCCCCACCTGGGCAAACAATTTCGAAATAGTTATGTACTGGCTATTAAGATTCCAAAGGTACTTTGGAAAACATAACTGAGCTAGAAACAAACTGCTGGCTGAGAGGGGGAAAAAAAACCCTCCCACTTTCTACCTCTGTGAGTTGCTGAGGTAACAGCCATATAACCAAAGAAGTTTGAAAATGCACTGAGGCACATTTCTGTACACTTATTTATCTCCGTGTATTCTTTCCTCCATAGATGACTGATTCTCATTTCATTTCAGCATGTACTGAGTGACCGACCACTCCCCTGGGCCAGGCACCAGGAAGACTACAGACACACAAAGCCTAAGTGGCTTCAGATCACCCAAGAACCTTGCCCGCACATACTGGCTGTATTCACAGGACTCACATCCCTCCATCACTCTTGCTGGAAATACACGCACACACACACACACAAAGCAACACACTCTCCACCACTGTTGCATTTATTAACCCTCTGACTGTCCTATTGCCCTGATTTCTAATAAAGTTCATCCACTAGTAAGTAAAGCCCTATCACTCCCAATTCTTTGGGGGCAGATTTTAAGAGAGAGTTATTAGTTACATAGAAATTTCCGAAGACTTATTTTTTTAAACAGCTCATAATCATAAGTAGGTCAATGTAAGTTAAATAGCCAACAATACATAGTCTTATACTGCTGCGAGTAGGGAATTCCGTATTATGTTAGAACAGATATCACTTTTTAAAGTTTCTGGATACAACTTGTCAATCAGCAATGCACTTCAACTTAAAATTAGTAACTAAGTATTTAATTAGAAGTTTCAAAATTATAGCTGGCTTTCCTCACCTAGCCTCTTTCTATTCAGCCAGCAGGTAGGCCCTGCTGACAAAACAAAGGAAGAGACAGAGGGCTGTGCAGAAAGCCCAGGACAGGAAAAGGCTTTGGAGATGGTGTCAAAACCAGAATTTCAACAGTCATTTCAGATGCTAAATAGAGAGATTCTATTGCTTAATGAATAATTACAAGATAAAATATTAAAAATGAAAACATCTACTTTACTAAAAAATAACATAATAAAATATGACAAATTCCATTTTCCAATGACTCTTAGGCCACATGCAAAACACCTGATTCACAAATAGGTTTGCCTGTCTTTGGAATAATTCAGGACCACGATCATGAATGTGCTTGTGCAAAAGCCCTTTCCAACCAAATACTCATTTTCTGTTTCTTCTCAAAACTAGTGAAAAAACTAAGGTGCAGTTGGAGAGCCCAAATGATGTTTCTTTACATACACAGACCAGAAGTAACTCGAACATTGTTACTGGAAGCCAGCACATACAAGCCATCAACCTGCCCAACCTCTAGTGTTTTCTACACTTGCTCCAACTAAGAGCTAAAAGCTGCCACTTACTCAGCAGTTACTATGTGCCGAGCCCTGTTCTGAGACGTCGTGTCGTGCAGATTCGTAAAGCTCTCATATAAAGCCATCCCAACCCTACCACCCCTCTGCTGACATAAGAGACTGAGCTGATTCGGTCAATTCGGTCCTTTACATAGGTGTATGTAAAGACTACACTGTACACTAGAGGGATTCAGCAAAGGGTAAGATTTTCCTCTCTTCCCTCAGGGAGTTTATAATCCAGGAAAACATCCACGCAAAGAATAAACTAAGCAGTCAAAAGGAAAAATTACAGCTGAGTGGAGCCACCAGTCAAGCACTAAGCAGAAGAAGAATGAGCTAATGCTGAATGAACGTCAAGAGAAGCTTCTTTCACAGAAACAGAAGCATTTAAGCCAAGCCTTCAGTATTAGGGCTTTTGATAGAAGAAAAAGACACAAAAGACATTCCAAAGTAAAGGAATTGGACAAACAACCATGAAAGTGGCCAGAGGTCTAATGTTGAAATACAGAGTGACAAGAGCAACACAGTAAAAGATGAAGCTGAAAGTTCAACGAGACCAGATGGCACAGGTCTTGGAATGATTTCCTAACCCTTTAACACTAACTCTCAACTGGGCCAAGTGGTAGTCCTCCAAGGTGAAACTCTCTGTAGGAGCAAGCCTACAGACAGACCTAGGTCATAGTCATGGGTGTGATGGAAGACGGGGACTTGGTCAGGGGAGGGGGCAGCGCGTGACAGGACCTGCCTTACATATGAGATGATCCTGGTAACAGAGCAGGGAGGGCCAGAGAAGGTGGAGATGAGGGAGACCAGCCATCAGGCCTGCAGTAACAGTCTAGTGAGGACTGATAAGGGCCCCGGAGGGCAGGTGCAGAGGAACCACTATGAAAAAGGTCAGTGGAAGGGACATGGAAACTGACTTGGTAAAAATCTGGTTGAGAAAGGGAAGACTCAAAATGTTTCCAGTCTGGGTAAGGAGGAGAAAGAATGTGCTGTGAAGTAAGATACCTTATTACTTTGTATCTGAACAAGGACACATTCCAGAGTATAGCCACTTTAACTGAAAATGCAAAGCAAAAATTGCAGATAGACTATTCTCATTCCACAAAAGAAAGAAACCGAAGTCCAGGAGATTTAACCAACCTGCCCGCGATGACCCAGGAGGTGAGAGATGAGTCAAGAGAAAAACCTGAGTCTTCTGAACCCAGGAATAATGTTCTTTAAATAGTCTCCCCAAAAGCAAATTACTTTTTAGGAATATAATACAATTCCACAAAAACCCCAAAGCAAAAAACATTTTCAACAAAAAGCATGTAATCTGGGAGTGCAATTTTATTTCAAAGGTAAGGAAGATTTTTAAATGTGTGCTCTGATTCCCTCTACCCAAGAGACAGAGTGCAATGCCTTCACATGAGCAGTGCAGGCTCATGGACCCTGAAAGTTTAGATACAGATACATAAAACGGCCACTTCTAATGATGTGGCTGGTACTTTGCTGTCTGCCATTCAAATACTTCGTAATAATAATATACTACATAACGCAGATTACAGACTCTGACTCTATTTAGCAAACATTGAACCCTTTAATGTTTAAGGTGTTGGGGACAAGATACATGGTCACTACAGCTAGAATTAAACATGCACAATACAATGTGATACAGCAATAATGAAAGTAAAAATGCAGGCTTGTAACTGCAGAAAAGAATAATTCACATTCACAGGACTGCCAAAGGGTTCCAGAGAAGACATAAAATTAGATGTAGATTTTTAAAAACTGGAGGGGGTAGGAGTGAGACAGGGCATTGCAATCAGAGAAAGGATTTAAGCAAAGGAATCAAGTACCTTGGCATGTTCAGGGAATCAAGAATATAGTCCTCCTATTCCGTGGGACAGTGCAAGGTGACAAGGAGGACAGGTAAAGCTCAGAGATGATGGGGGCCAGACTGTGAGGGGGCTGGAAAATGAGATGCTGGTGGGTCTAGAGTCTAGTCTCCAAACAGCAGGTAGTCGTGGAAGCTTTCTGAGCCAGAGACTGACAAGATCCGATCTGTATATAGGAAAGATAACTGGCAACCAGGCAAAGCAGGGATGGGAAGGGGTGGGGGGAATCTGAAGACAAAGCATGAGCAAAGAAAGGAATCCGTGGCTTTGCACACTAGCGTGAACCTCCTATGCCAAAACGAACTGAATGTTAACAGGATCATTTCATGTCTCCCCTCACTTGATCATCCCCACAATCCTATTGTGGAGGATGTCACAATGTGACAGGTATCACCACTCCTCCCACTTTACAGACACAGAACTGGCTCAGAGGCCATTAACTGCTATAAGTCAAATGCTGCTAAAACAGGGAGAAAACCCAGGAACAGAATGCAAAATAAAAATTGATCCTAGTGCTTTTGAAAAGTGCTACAGTAAAAGAATGGTCTACAATACCATTAGAGAAGTGCTAAAAATCCATGCAATTTTCCTAAATGCTTTCTACTCCAACTCATTAACAAATATGCAGATTTACCCTTAAAATAGTTACAGATTTGCCTTATGTTAATGCCATGTTAAACACACGTATGGTTCTTCAAAAAAAAAATCTGTACCTCACTTCCTATGGAATTACATGTATAAGAGTAGTATTCTCCCATTTAGTCAATGTTCCATTGGCCAAACTGGCATTTCACTGACGGCACAGACTTACATTAAAAACTGGTACCTGTGCCCAACTGAAGTAATAAACTATTTTCTGAATTATTAAAAATGCATTATTTAGCAAGCACAGCAATTAGATCTAGAATATAATAAGTAATAATTGCAAGGAGCTTGCCTATAGGTTTGCAATGGCTCACTTTTGGGAATAGTTTTTGTCACAAAAAAAAAAAATAGCATAAAGACCCTGAGACCCATTAAAGAATGGATGCATCCAAAACAGCCGAGGAGAGAGTATTTGACCTTCAAGACGCAGAGTGGTAGATTTTCCCCCGCTTAAATTCAAAGTCTACGAAATGGTCAAGGTGTTGTGGCGGGGGTCTTCTACTACCTAGAAGAAACTTAGCCTGGGGCCTCTGACTGTACAGTTCTACGCACAGCGTCACCTATTATCAAAACTGTTCGCCCCCACCCCGTCCCCAATCTTCTACCACCGTTTTTTTTTCCTCCTCTTCCTCCTCCTCCTTCTAAACAAGCAAAGACCCTGACATGTAAAACTCATTCTTAGTGACTTGGACGAAGTACCCAACCTAGATTTCCAAAGATCCAACCTGGGTGATTATTAGCAGGAACCACATTTCGCTAACCGATGCCAACGAACCGCGCGCCCCCTGCCCTGTTACCCGCCCATACTCTCCCCTAGGTTAAGTCTCCGTAGCTTGCCCACCGAAGGCGAAAACTGGAAGGTGGCGAAAAGAGAGGTCAGACCGGCTCTGCCGCGATCTGCAGGCGAGCTGCCGGGAGCTCGGGAGGCCGTGCCCTCCGCGCGCCGGCCGCGAGCCCCGAAAGGCGGAGCCCCGAAAGGCCCGGCGGCGGGGTGCTCGGTGCCCGCGGGCCTGTCATTCCGCGGCGGCCGTAACCTTCGCCGAGCCGCGCGCACGCCCGCCCGCCTGCCCCGGCGGCTCCCGGCCGGCCCGAGAGGACAATGCTGGAGGGGAGGGAGCGCGGGGAGGGGAGCGGGCGGCGCCACGCGCGCCCACCGCCCGCCCGCCCGGGCCCCGCGCCCCGCAGGCACTCCCCGCGGGCAGCCGCTCCTGCGCCGGGCGCCGCCGGCCCATTGTGCGGACTCATCGCCGCGGCCTGCCGCCCGCGGGCCGGCCTCCCCCGGCCCGCCCGCTCGCTGCCCGCCTCCCCCGGCCCGCCTCCCCCGGCCCGCCCGCGGTACCTGCCGAGCGGCCGGGCGGCGGCGGCCGGCGGGCGCCTCCTCTCGCTGCGGCTCCGGGGCTGCGGCGCCGGCGGCCTGGCCTGCGCCTGACGTAAAGCGGCGGCGGCTCCGGCGCCACTCGGCGGAGGGCGGGAGGCGGCGCATCGGCCGCTCCGCTCCGTTACCCGGCAACTGGCCTCAGCGCCCCGCCAGCCGGGCGCGCTCCATATCCTTCCGCCATGCACGGATTACATCAGCGCCGCCCGCCCCGCCCCGCCCCGCCGGCCCCGCCCCTCCAGCGGGCGCGGAGCCCCGGGGGTTCGAGCCCGGCAGCGGCGAGGGCGCCGCTGGGAGCTGGCAGGGCTGCAAGCGGAATCCCCCTCCGTGTGCGGGTGCGGAAGAGGAGCCGCTCCTTAGGAAGGGTGCGGGGGGGCTGCTCGTCGCAGAGGCCCCGACACTCCGCGCGGCCTCGCGGAGGCCCCGGCCCCCGGGGGACAGCGGGGGAGACGAGCGCCGCCCCACCCGCGGCCGGTGCAGCCTCCGCCTTCCGGGGCGCGCGCTCCACCTGTCTGCGCCCGCTTCTCGCCGCGTCCTGGGATGGCTGGAGTGGGCGGTTTAAAAGAAAGACTTTAATTTAATTTTATTTTTTTAAAGAAACCCCAGAAGACAAGCTAAAAAAGTGTGACATGGATTTCTTTTTATTATTAAGTAGGCAAAAATAAATTCTGGAACATTCGGAAGTGGGAACCTAAAATGTGAACTAACCTTTTAATCAAAGTCTCTTCACACCCACCCACCTTCCCTAAATGTGATTCCGAGTCCTGCCCTTAAAAAGCAAATAATTAATAGGCACCAGAGAGGATGATTACCTACTGACGAAGAGGAAACCGGAAACCGGTCCATAGCGGGGAGTGACCAGGGGGGTCATTGTCATTGATTTATCAGTCGACACCCACTAGGCGCCAGGCGCTGAGGCTTTCTGCTCTGAGCTTGGGAAGCAGGGCTCTCTCGCCAGCTCCCAGGCTCCAGGCAAAAGCAGAAATGTACACTGGGAAGGGGCAACAGACACCACGTGCTGGGTGCTGGAGGGACGACAACGAACTCTGATTTACAGTCTGCCTACAAAGTGTCTTTCAGCAAACATTTCTGTTCAGCAGTAAACTCCGGGGTCAAGGCATTACTATCCCCATATCAGGCAAGGAAGCTGAGGCTCATAAAGTAAAAGCGATTTCGCCTAAGCTTTGCTGCTAGTGGGGGCCAGGGCGGTCTAGGGCTTCTGACTCCCTTAAACTACATTGCCTCTGGTGGGAGGCGGGACTTGAACCCACGATCCTGGCTCTGAGATCTGGGTCCTTTACACAGCTCTCTCACCTCATCACAGTTTTGTTCTCTGAAGTTCATCTCAGTTGAATGTATCTTGCCGTGAATCACAATGTATTCAATCAACATCTTGAGTACCTGCTCTGGGCCTGGCTAATGACAGGCAGGGGTGGATCTGCCCCCTGGAGATCAAACCCTGAAAAGGGAAAGGAGAGTAGGAGAGGGTATGGGGAAATCAGGGTGGTCTGGGAGCAAAGACTGGACAGGTAATGGAGCTAAGGGTGCAGTTCCCAGATGCCGCCAGACCTGGGATTTCACAGGCTACTGAAATTTCCCCCCAAACAGGGGGGATTTGCAAAGATTGGCCAGCTTTCCCCACATTGCTGCCTTCTACACCTAAATTTGGGGAAGGATTTATTGACAGCAACAAATTAAAATAGTAACAATGTATCTCAGATGTTTTCAGAAAAAAGGAAACAGTTGGCAGCTTTATAGCTTATACACACAAACACACACACACACAGTTTACTGTATTTTTCTCCTTTTGCCACAGAGCAGGTTTTATAAAGCCACAAACTAGTGAAGCCAGAAGGCTTCATGGAGGAAGGGGTATTTAGACTGTAGAAACTAAGTAGGGTTAGTAAAATTTGGAGGTGGTGGGAAGATTATATATCAAAGAATGAAAGTGCCTTTGTTACTTTGTTTCCTTAACAAAATACCCTTTTGTCCTTATTGTTTGTTTTGATAAAAGTCTTAGAAGATTTGGCTTGAGTCTTCTGAACCCAGGAATAATGTTCTTTAAATAGTCTCCCCAAAAGCAAATTACTTTTTAGGAATATAATACAATTCCACAAAAACCCCAAAGCAAAAAACATTTTCAACAAAAAGCATGTAATCTGGGAGTGCAATTTTATTTCAAAGGTAAGGAAGATTTTTAAATGTGTGCTCTGATTCCCTCTACCCAAGAGACAGAGTGCAATGCCTTCACATGAGCAGTGCAGGCTCATGGACCCTGAAAGTTTAGATACAGATACATAAAACGGCCACTTCTAATGATGTGGCTGGTACTTTGCTGTCTGCCATTCAAATACTTCGTAATAATAATATACTACATAACGCAGATTACAGACTCTGACTCTATTTAGCAAACATTGAACCCTTTAATGTTTAAGGTGTTGGGGACAAAATACATGGTCACTACAGCTAGAATTAAACATGCACAATACAATGTGATACAGCAATAATGAAAGTAAAAATGCAGGCTTGTAACTGCAGAAAAGAATAATTCACATTCACAGGACTGCCAAAGGGTTCCAGAGAAGACATAAAATTAGATGTAGATTTTTAAAAACTGGAGGGGGTAGGAGTGAGACAGGGCATTGCAATCAGAGAAAGGATTTAAGCAAAGGAATCAAGTACCTTGGCATGTTCAGGGAATCAAGAATATAGTCCTCCTATTCCGTGGGACAGTGCAAGGTGACAAGGAGGACAGGTAAAGCTCAGAGATGATGGGGGCCAGACTGTGAGGGGGCTGGAAAATGAGATGCTGGTGGGTCTAGAGTCTAGTCTCCAAACAGCAGGTAGTCGTGGAAGCTTTCTGAGCCAGAGACTGACAAGATCCGATCTGTATATAGGAAAGATAACTGGCAACCAGGCAAAGCAGGGATGGGAAGGGGTGGGGGGAATCTGAAGACAAAGCATGAGCAAAGAAAGGAATCCGTGGCTTTGCACACTAGCGTGAACCTCCTATGCCAAAACGAACTGAATGTTAACAGGATCATTTCATGTCTCCCCTCACTTGATCATCCCCACAATCCTATTGTGGAGGATGTCACAATGTGACAGGTATCACCACTCCTCCCACTTTACAGACACAGAACTGGCTCAGAGGCCATTAACTGCTATAAGTCAAATGCTGCTAAAACAGGGAGAAAACCCAGGAACAGAATGCAAAATAAAAATTGATCCTAGTGCTTTTGAAAAGTGCTACAGTAAAAGAATGGTCTACAATACCATTAGAGAAGTGCTAAAAATCCATGCAATTTTCCTAAATGCTTTCTACTCCAACTCATTAACAAATATGCAGATTTACCCTTAAAATAGTTACAGATTTGCCTTATGTTAATGCCATGTTAAACACACGTATGGTTCTTCAAAAAAAAAATCTGTACCTCACTTCCTATGGAATTACATGTATAAGAGTAGTATTCTCCCATTTAGTCAATGTTCCATTGGCCAAACTGGCATTTCACTGACGGCACAGACTTACATTAAAAACTGGTACCTGTGCCCAACTGAAGTAATAAACTATTTTCTGAATTATTAAAAATGCATTATTTAGCAAGCACAGCAATTAGATCTAGAATATAATAAGTAATAATTGCAAGGAGCTTGCCTATAGGTTTGCAATGGCTCACTTTTGGGAATAGTTTTTGTCACAAAAAAAAAAAATAGCATAAAGACCCTGAGACCCATTAAAGAATGGATGCATCCAAAACAGCCGAGGAGAGAGTATTTGACCTTCAAGACGCAGAGTGGTAGATTTTCCCCCGCTTAAATTCAAAGTCTACGAAATGGTCAAGGTGTTGTGGCGGGGGTCTTCTACTACCTAGAAGAAACTTAGCCTGGGGCCTCTGACTGTACAGTTCTACGCACAGCGTCACCTATTATCAAAACTGTTCGCCCCCACCCCGTCCCCAATCTTCTACCACCGTTTTTTTTTCCTCCTCTTCCTCCTCCTCCTTCTAAACAAGCAAAGACCCTGACATGTAAAACTCATTCTTAGTGACTTGGACGAAGTACCCAACCTAGATTTCCAAAGATCCAACCTGGGTGATTATTAGCAGGAACCACATTTCGCTAACCGATGCCAACGAACCGCGCGCCCCCTGCCCTGTTACCCGCCCATACTCTCCCCTAGGTTAAGTCTCCGTAGCTTGCCCACCGAAGGCGAAAACTGGAAGGTGGCGAAAAGAGAGGTCAGACCGGCTCTGCCGCGATCTGCAGGCGAGCTGCCGGGAGCTCGGGAGGCCGTGCCCTCCGCGCGCCGGCCGCGAGCCCCGAAAGGCGGAGCCCCGAAAGGCCCGGCGGCGGGGTGCTCGGTGCCCGCGGGCCTGTCATTCCGCGGCGGCCGTAACCTTCGCCGAGCCGCGCGCACGCCCGCCCGCCTGCCCCGGCGGCTCCCGGCCGGCCCGAGAGGACAATGCTGGAGGGGAGGGAGCGCGGGGAGGGGAGCGGGCGGCGCCACGCGCGCCCACCGCCCGCCCGCCCGGGCCCCGCGCCCCGCAGGCACTCCCCGCGGGCAGCCGCTCCTGCGCCGGGCGCCGCCGGCCCATTGTGCGGACTCATCGCCGCGGCCTGCCGCCCGCGGGCCGGCCTCCCCCGGCCCGCCCGCTCGCTGCCCGCCTCCCCCGGCCCGCCTCCCCCGGCCCGCCCGCGGTACCTGCCGAGCGGCCGGGCGGCGGCGGCCGGCGGGCGCCTCCTCTCGCTGCGGCTCCGGGGCTGCGGCGCCGGCGGCCTGGCCTGCGCCTGACGTAAAGCGGCGGCGGCTCCGGCGCCACTCGGCGGAGGGCGGGAGGCGGCGCATCGGCCGCTCCGCTCCGTTACCCGGCAACTGGCCTCAGCGCCCCGCCAGCCGGGCGCGCTCCATATCCTTCCGCCATGCACGGATTACATCAGCGCCGCCCGCCCCGCCCCGCCCCGCCGGCCCCGCCCCTCCAGCGGGCGCGGAGCCCCGGGGGTTCGAGCCCGGCAGCGGCGAGGGCGCCGCTGGGAGCTGGCAGGGCTGCAAGCGGAATCCCCCTCCGTGTGCGGGTGCGGAAGAGGAGCCGCTCCTTAGGAAGGGTGCGGGGGGGCTGCTCGTCGCAGAGGCCCCGACACTCCGCGCGGCCTCGCGGAGGCCCCGGCCCCCGGGGGACAGCGGGGGAGACGAGCGCCGCCCCACCCGCGGCCGGTGCAGCCTCCGCCTTCCGGGGCGCGCGCTCCACCTGTCTGCGCCCGCTTCTCGCCGCGTCCTGGGATGGCTGGAGTGGGCGGTTTAAAAGAAAGACTTTAATTTAATTTTATTTTTTTAAAGAAACCCCAGAAGACAAGCTAAAAAAGTGTGACATGGATTTCTTTTTATTATTAAGTAGGCAAAAATAAATTCTGGAACATTCGGAAGTGGGAACCTAAAATGTGAACTAACCTTTTAATCAAAGTCTCTTCACACCCACCCACCTTCCCTAAATGTGATTCCGAGTCCTGCCCTTAAAAAGCAAATAATTAATAGGCACCAGAGAGGATGATTACCTACTGACGAAGAGGAAACCGGAAACCGGTCCATAGCGGGGAGTGACCAGGGGGGTCATTGTCATTGATTTATCAGTCGACACCCACTAGGCGCCAGGCGCTGAGGCTTTCTGCTCTGAGCTTGGGAAGCAGGGCTCTCTCGCCAGCTCCCAGGCTCCAGGCAAAAGCAGAAATGTACACTGGGAAGGGGCAACAGACACCACGTGCTGGGTGCTGGAGGGACGACAACGAACTCTGATTTACAGTCTGCCTACAAAGTGTCTTTCAGCAAACATTTCTGTTCAGCAGTAAACTCCGGGGTCAAGGCATTACTATCCCCATATCAGGCAAGGAAGCTGAGGCTCATAAAGTAAAAGCGATTTCGCCTAAGCTTTGCTGCTAGTGGGGGCCAGGGCGGTCTAGGGCTTCTGACTCCCTTAAACTACATTGCCTCTGGTGGGAGGCGGGACTTGAACCCACGATCCTGGCTCTGAGATCTGGGTCCTTTACACAGCTCTCTCACCTCATCACAGTTTTGTTCTCTGAAGTTCATCTCAGTTGAATGTATCTTGCCGTGAATCACAATGTATTCAATCAACATCTTGAGTACCTGCTCTGGGCCTGGCTAATGACAGGCAGGGGTGGATCTGCCCCCTGGAGATCAAACCCTGAAAAGGGAAAGGAGAGTAGGAGAGGGTATGGGGAAATCAGGGTGGTCTGGGAGCAAAGACTGGACAGGTAATGGAGCTAAGGGTGCAGTTCCCAGATGCCGCCAGACCTGGGATTTCACAGGCTACTGAAATTTCCCCCCAAACAGGGGGGATTTGCAAAGATTGGCCAGCTTTCCCCACATTGCTGCCTTCTACACCTAAATTTGGGGAAGGATTTATTGACAGCAACAAATTAAAATAGTAACAATGTATCTCAGATGTTTTCAGAAAAAAGGAAACAGTTGGCAGCTTTATAGCTTATACACACAAACACACACACACACAGTTTACTGTATTTTTCTCCTTTTGCCACAGAGCAGGTTTTATAAAGCCACAAACTAGTGAAGCCAGAAGGCTTCATGGAGGAAGGGGTATTTAGACTGTAGAAACTAAGTAGGGTTAGTAAAATTTGGAGGTGGTGGGAAGATTATATATCAAAGAATGAAAGTGCCTTTGTTACTTTGTTTCCTTAACAAAATACCCTTTTGTCCTTATTGTTTGTTTTGATAAAAGTCTTAGAAGATTTGGCTGACCCCAGCCTCAGGGCCTTTCCTAATGATTCCTCTTCAGGGAACCTCTCTCCCCAGAGCTTCCCATTGCTTGGCTCCTTCTGGTTCAGGGCTCAGGTACGATGCCACCTGTTCAGAGACTTTCCCTGATCCCCAGTTTAGAGTTGCCAACCTTCCCAGTCATGATGCCACCACTCTGTTTTTTTTTAATTCGTAATTCTTATCAGTATTTGAAATTATCTTGATTTTTTGTGTGTTTGTTTACCCAGTAAGTCCAACCTCCCCACCCTGACCCTCACCCCTGGCTCCAAGACCTACTTTCCAGGAGAGCATCCGGTCGGAGGTGTTGACACGCCCACCACAGGGCCTGCCAGTTTGTAGGTGAGTGATGCAGAGGAGCCAACCCATGCTGGTGTGCACAACCAACAAGAGGGGTCAAGCATGAACCCTGAACTTTTTAGGGTGCACACTGCCCATGACCTTCGTTGAAACTCCTGAGTCAACCAAGTTAAATTCAGAGTAACAGAGTCAAACTCAGGATAACAATAGCTTGCTCACTGTTGTGGGCTAAGACCCCCAGGAAATGCAAAGAAGGCCAGAGGACTCTGTCCTTAAGGCGTAGATAGTATGGAAGGGGAGGAGTCCCAGTAAAAGCTTTTCCAAAGAGAAGCCATCTTGGTTTTTCTGTATGTCCTCAATCATTCTCTTCATTCCACCAGCCTCAGGACCACCTGTTGAGCCTCTTTAACCCCTGTCCTTGGGAGGGGCAGTGACAGGGAGAATATGACAGCCTCCAGTGCCCTATGACTTAGATGTTCTAGATGCCAGTGAGGACTCAGGCCAATGGCAACTGGGACCATGGTATTGGGACATGGAGTGTGTACAGTGAACCACAGGATGAGGCCAGTCTGGGATGCTTTGGGACCCCTTCCGGCACATACTGGCTGACAGAAAGCAGGAGCCAAGCCTCCGCGGCTCTGTGACCTTGCCTCACTTTCCCTCGGCACAGCAGGGGACTTAGGAAGATTTCAAAAGACTCCTCCGGTTCTTTTTTTTAATTTAAAATATGGAAACAATTTCAGTGAAGCTACACTGTGATGTAAGGGGGAGGTCATGAGGGGACAGGGAATAAGGGAGCTCTCTGTACTTTTTGCTCAGTTTTTCTGTGAGCCTTAAACTGCTCTAAAAAATAAAGCCTCATTTTAAAAATAAAAGAATATACACAAACTTTAGCTGTCATTCAACACCAGCAATACCAGCTCCCATTCACTGACCTCCGGCTGTAAGCCAGGGGCTTTACTCACCTTGCCCTAACCCCTAACAGCCAGCAGCCAGGAGCTCATCTCCATTTGCAGTTAGAGACTCTGGGGGCACAAAGTGAGGTGGCTTGACCCAGGCCACACCACCACCAAGTGGGAAGCACCAGGATCTGACTGTAGCCCTGCCCCTGCTACTGCTCAGTGCCATGCTGTTTCCATTGAGGTCCAACCTCAGTCAGCTTTTCGATGAATGGTGCCCAGATAAGACCCTGGACAGAGAAGCTCCTTATTGCCTCCCCTCAGGACCAAGACCCTCTTTTAGGACTTTTAACTCTTCATCTCCACTTGGATACTGTCAGTCAAGGTGGTCAACTGTCCCCTCCTTCAAGGCCTTTTCTTTTACTCTCTCTGGCATGCAGCCCCTCCTGACAGCCTCCTCTTAGGAGTTGAAGGGCCCCCACCAGTAAGATGGCAAACTTCCGGCTTCTCTTCGGGGGGCGGGGGGGGGTCCTCAGTTCCCGCCGGCGCCACCTGAAGCCCAATCACCTCTCGCCCCCCTCCCAATCCCAGCACCTAGCCAACAGCCACCAGCCCCATAGAAGTGACACCTCAATCAATTCATGCCCCTTCCTATATAACCCAGCACCTTTCCCTAATAAAGCGGAATTCTCCAGTGAATTGCTGCTATGTGTCGCTCCTTTCCTTTCAGGAGTGGCCAATACCATTCCAGCATCTGAAGAGTTGAGGTCAAGCCTCTGACACAGCCTCGTGGTATGACCTTGAGTAGCTCACTGACCTTCACAGGGCTTCCATTTACTAGTATATGAAATGATGGAGGGACAACGAGCCCATCCTGCTCATCTCAATTGTCTTTGGGGCCAAGCAAAAGCAGAGGTGTACTTCTGTAGTTTCCAAGATGCCATGTAAACATCAAGTCTCATCATTCTTTCAGATTTGCTCCAAGAGCTGATGGCCTTTCCCTGCTCCTGCAAGGGTGCTCAACAGTATCACTGACACTGTCCAGTTGAGAGGTAGGGTAGCATGCTGGGCAAACACTGGCTGCAATGCTGGGCTAAAGCCAGGTTCTACCACTTAGTAGCTTGCTGACATGGCTATTTAGCCTTTCAGTTTCCTCATCTGTAAAATGGGCATGATGTCATAGTATATGTCTCGGAGGGTTGGTGCAAGTGGGTGAGTGAATCCACGTAGAGGGAGAGAACAGTGGCTGTGTACTGCCAGCACTGAACGCCAGCCCCACACACGCAGCTCCTGCCTGCTCTGCCCATCTGGGCCACCCTCCTCCCTGCCCGTCCTCACTTCCTGCTTCTTCCCATCACACAGCATGCTCCTAGGGCAGCCGCATTCACTCTGCTGCCTGAACTGACATGGAGATGAAGGACCCCTCTGTGTCCTCCTCTGACCTTGCTCTGAGGCCCAGACCTGCTCCTGCATCACGGCCAAGGCCCCGACCTCAGCATGCCCATGCCGACTCAGCCTTCCCCACACAGTCAGTGCCCCCCCCACCCACGGTGTTGCCCTCTTGGATCCGCTTCAGAAATGCAGAGACCAAGGTGAGCGCAGCGCCGCCCTCACTAACTACGCAACCTTGAGCAAGTTACCTCCTCTCTCTGGGCTGGCTTCCATACCTCTGAGACAGCAAGCACTAGTACTCGATTTGGCTCCCCGGGTCATGAATCCCCTTCCCATGTTTGGGCAATCTCCCCTCCTAATGGGGCTGGGAGGAAACAAGGCTGACACCCCTTTTATAGGATCTTGAGGCTGGACACTGACCACACCTCCCTCCTGACCTCCCGGCCTCAGCCCTGATGTCATTACTGATAATACACAACAATGCATGTGGCTTCCTATGCACTGATTAGCTCACGCATACCCCAGAGTACCCTGCATCTAGGCTACTGGCATGCAAAAGGCTTGGAAGTGATTTTTAATAAAGGTATTAAACCAAGAGCATAGCTTACCAGCAGCTGATAGCAGCCAGGCCTTCTGTAGGAGATGTTCCATCCATGTGATAGTAAAAGGACTGGAGAAGGTGAGCCAGAAGGTAGCTGTCCACTCTTCTCCATCAGAGGGGGTACTCCCACCGCTGTACCAAGAAGAGGATCCTGGGAAGGCATAGGAGGGACCACTGTTCAGAGAAGCAGGTCCCACCACTGGGAAACTGGGGTGGACCCAGATCCTCTCCATCTACCTCCACGTCTTGGGCCAGACAAGTTCTTGCACCTTTCTTCCAATGCACAAGGTGGGGCTGCTCCCAGCCAGTCAAGGATAACAG